TCCATAGTCAAAGATGGGCAGTATGGATGTTTGAATTAGCGAAATCCTTAAGGAATAAGTAAAACAAGATTTGCTGTGAGGAACAATTCCTATGGTTGAATTTAGGTTCTAATTTATTATCTCAAGTTGTGAAAGGTAAAGCACTGTCTATCCAGTTACAGTTTAGATATTTACTGTATAAACCATGACTTCATTCAGTCACATTCATAAAGTAACGCTTTGTTCCAACATTAAGTAATAAATATGTTATCATTTTAGAAGTTAATACAACTCAGAATGTGTATGAGACCAGCAGAAGCCACAGTTTATTGACAGCCTGAATTTTAACATAATAAAGGTTCCAACGAGAGGAAACAATATGGCCGGGTAGTTTGTTTCAGACTTCCACAACCCTTTGTACCCTTTTGTCTAATAAAGTGCCTCCTGTTCTCTGTTGAAAAAGCACTTTCCCTTATGTTCCTCTTATCTTGTTTTTGTTTCATTCTTGATTCTGAGGAAGTCGACTGGGATGTTTTTGTAAACACCTTTTAAGATTTTGAATACACAAATTATACTCCCTCGTAGTTTTCTCTATTCAAGATAAAAAAAACATTTGCTTCTTTTAGCCAGTCCGTGTAGGACATTCTTTTAGGTCTGGGATTGTTTCAGGGAATGGTCTTCAGGATCGTATCAGTTGAATCATTTTTGTAATTCAGTGACTACAATTGCACATAATACATGAGGTCTAAATGAGGTTTAACTTGTGCATTGTGCAACTATAAAGTTTGTTTGTTTTTGGTCTTTTTATTGAAATTATGCTGCATATCTGTCCAAAATAATAAAGTGGGTCTAGTTGAGTATAGAGGGTGTCAGAGCTGTACATGTGGACATGACAGATGCCTATTATCTGAACAATGTTTTTAATATAACTGGAAAAAGAGAGAACGGACTCCCTTAAAAAGTGAAAGAGAATGTAAAAGAAATCTGTCAGATTTTACACAGGAATCTGGTTTTGTAAGTAATTTTAAAGCCATGTGATATTAAAGCCATATCGCTATTTCAGAAAAATAACCCACAGTATAAAAAATCTTAGGTATGTCTATGTACTCTAGATGGTTAAATAAGTGTGTTTTTACAGATCAGTTATATCACTGAGAACCTTTAAGGCTGCCATCTATGATCTTATTCAAGGCAAAATGGATGTAGGTCAATAGGAGTCTGACTTATCACTCCCTTTGAAAAGAGGCAAAAGGTAAACTTTCAGTCCACTGGGATATGAGCTGGTTTATGAGGGACTGAATATTGTGGGTTATTGAAGCAGACATTACATGAGAAGCAAGGATCAATGACCAGCAGATGATATATTGCACAAAAAGAATTGATTGTATTTTTTAAATATATTTACTCTATACATATACAGCATCCTTTAATATTACTTTTTCCATTTTGAGTTAATTACAATCAACAGCAGCACTTGTGTTTTCCGGTTATTTTAAATAAATAGATGGCCTTACAAATGATAGAAACATAATCTTTTTAATCTAATCTTTATAGGTTATATGCTGTACAGTACACATTTGTCTTGATGACGTGGCATCTTTCTGTTTTAGGGTTCACCTGGTGAAAGAGGAGC